TCATCTTTCCAAGACTTTTACCATGAAGGGATGTTGAATTTTGTCAAATACTTTCTCAGCATCTAGTGAGATGATCATATGTTTTTTTTCTTTGAATCTGTTTATATAGTGGATTATGTTGATGGATTTCCAAATATTGAACCATCCCTGCATTCCTGGGATAAAGCCTACTTGATCATGATGGATGATTGTTTTGATGTATTCTTGGATTCGGTTTGCTAGAATTTTATTGAGTATTTTTGCATTGATATTCATAAGGGAGTTTGGTCTGAAGTTTTCTTTCTTTGTTGGGTCTTTGTGAGGTTTAGGTATGAGCGTGATTGTGGCTTCATAGAACGAATTGGGTAGTGTTCCTTCTGTTTCTATTTTTGTGGAATAGTTTGAAGAGAATTGGTATTAAGTCGTCCTTAAAGGTCTGATAGAATTCTGCACTAAAACCATCTGGTCCTGGGCTTTTTTTGGTTGAGAGACTTTTAATGACTGCTGTTATTTTTTTAGGGGTTATGGGACTGTTTAGATAGTTTATCTGCTCCTGATTTAACTTTGTAACCTGGTATCTGTCTAGAAAGTTGTCCATTTCTTCCAGATTTTCCAGTTTTGTTGAATATAGGCTTTTGTAGTAAAATCTGATGATTTTTTGAATTTCCTCAGTTTCTGTTGTTATGTTTCCCTTTTCAGTTCTGATTTTGTTAATTTGGATACTGTCTTTGTGCCCTCTGGTTAGTCTGGCTAAGGGTTTATCTATCTTGTTCATTTTCTCAAAGAACCAGCTCCTCGTTTTGTTGATATTTTGTATAGTTCTTTTTGTTTCTACTTGGTTGATTTCAGCCCTGAATTTGATTATTTCCTGCCATCTACCCCTCTTGCGTGTACTTGCTTCTTTTTGTTCTAGAGCTTTCAGGCGTGCTGTCAAGTTGTTAGTGTATGCTCTCTCCAGTTTCTTTTTGTAGGCACTTAGAGCTATGAGTTTTCCTCTTAGCACTACTTTCATGGAGTCCCACAAGTTTTGGTATGATGTGTCCTCATTTTCATTAAATTCTAAAAAGTCTTTAATTTCTTTCTCTATTTCTTCCTTGGCCAAGTCATTACTGAGTAGAGTGTTGTTTAGTTTCTACATGTATGTGGGCTTTCCATTGTTTTTGTCTTTATTGAAGACCAGCCTTAGTCTGTGGTGATCTGATAGAATACAAGGGATCATTTCAATCTTTTTTTGTATCTGTTGAGGCCTGTTTTGTGACCAATTATATGGTCTATTTTGGAGAAGGTACCATGAGGTGCTGAGAAAAAGGTATATTCTTTCGTTTTAGGATGAGATGTTCTATAGATATCTGTTACATCCATTTGGTTCATAACTTCTGTTAATTTCACTGTGTCTCTGTTTAGTTTCTGTTTCCATGATCTGTCCATTGCTGAGAGTGGGGTGTTGAAATCCCCCACTATTATTGTGTGAGGTGCAATGTGTGCTTTGAACTTTAGTAAAGCTTCTTTTATGTATGTGGGTGCCCTTGCGTTTGGAGCATAGATGTTCAGAATTGAGAGTTCCTCTTGGTAGATTGTGCCTTTGATAAGTATAAAGTATCATTCCTTATCTTTTTTGAATACTTTTGGTTGAAAGTCAATTTTATTTGATATTAGAATGGCTACTTCAGCTTGTTTCTTGGGACCATTTGCTTGGAAAATTGTTTTCCATCCTTTTACTCTGAGGTAGTGTCTGTCTTTGTCACTAAGGTGCATTTCCTCTATGCAGCAAAGTTCTGGGTCCTGTTTATGTATCCAGTTTGATAGTCTGCATCTTTTTATTGGAGAATTGAGTCCATTGATGTTAAGAGATATTAAGGAAAATGATTGTTGCTTCCTGTTATTTTTGTTATTAGAGGTGGAATTATGTTTGTGTAGCTATCTTCTTTTGGGATTGTTGGAAGATTACACTCTTGCTTTTTCTAGGTTGTAGTTTCCCTCCTTGTGTTGGAGTTTTCCATCAATTATCCTTTGAAGTGCTGGATTTGTGGGAAGATATTGTGTAAATTTGGTTTTGTCATGGAATATCTTGGTTTCTCCATCTATAGTAATTGAGAGTTTTGCTTGGTATAGTAGTCTGGGCTGGCATTTGTGTTCTTTTAGGGTCTGTATGATATCTGTCCAGAATCTTCTGGCTTTTATAGTCTTTGGTGAGAAGTCTGGTGTAATTCTTATAGGTCTCCCTTTTTATGTTACTTTACCTTTTTCCCTTACTGCTTTTAGTATTTTTTCTTTGTTTTGTGCATTTGATGTTTTGATTATTATGGGACAGGAGGAATTTCTTTCCTGGTCTAGTCTATTTGGTGTTCTGTAGGCTTCTTGTATGTTCATGGACATCTCTTTCTTTAGATTAGGGAAGTTTTCCACTATAATTTTGTTGAAGATGTTTACTGGCCCTTTAAGCAGGGAATCTTCACTTTCATCTATACCTATTATCCTTAGGTTTGGTCTTCTCATTGTGTCCTGGATTTCTTGGATATTTTGGGTTAGGAGCTTTTTGCATTTTGCATTTTCTTTGACAGTTGTGTCAATGTTTTCCATGGTATCATCTGCATATGAAATTCTCTCTTCTATCTCTTGTATTCTGTTGGTGATGCTTGCATCTACGATTCCTGATTTCTTTCCTAGGTTTTCTATCTGCAGGGTAGTCTCCCTTTGAGATTTCTTTATTGTTTCTACTTCCATTTTTAGATCCTGGATAGTTTTGTTTAATTCGTTCACCTGTTTGCTTGTGTTTTCTTGCAGTTCTTTAAGGGATTTTTGTGTTTCCTCTTTAAGGGCTTCTACCTGTTTACCTGTGTTCTCCTGTACTTCTTTAAGGGAGTTATTTATGTCCCTCTTAAAGTCCTCTATCATCATCATGAGAAGTGATTTTAATTCTGAATCCTGCTTTTCCAGTGTGATGAGGTGTCCAGGGCTTGCTGTGGTGGGAAAACTGGGTTCTGATGATGCCAAGTTACTTTGGTTTATGTTGCCTATGTTCTTGCGCTTGCCTTTCGTCATCTGGTTAACTCTAGTGCTATCTCCACTCACTGTCTCTGACTCGAGCCTGTCTTTCCAGTTATCTTGCTTGTGTCAAAACTCCTCAGAGTCCAGATGTCTGTGCGATCCTGAGTTTCTGGGTGGAAGAACTGCTGGGACTCAGGCTGCCTCTGGGATCCTGAAATCCTGCTGCTCTGAGTGCAGTGGTTCCTTCTCTGGTCTGAGTGCACTGGCTCCCCTAGGATGGCTCAGGATATGGTGTCTACTGCTCTGAGTGCAGTGGTTCCTCTGGATGGCTCAGGATATGGTGTCTTCATGGGACCTGATCATCTAGGTGTCTGCCCCAGACAAAAGGATCTAGCGAGGGCCGGAAGGGGGGGTGGTATTCCGGAGGGGCAGGGTTTGGGTGGCTGATGGGTCCTGAGCACCTCAGGCTCCCACGAATTCTCTTTATGCTGTGCTATTTTATTAAGGTATTCATAGCAAATTACTATAAATGTGGTATCTTAAATAACAGAACTTTACTTTCTCATGGTTCTGGAGATTAGAGACTGACATCAAGATGTTGGTAGAGCTGTACTTCCTTGGAAATACTAAGAAAGAATTTTCCTTTATCATCCAGATTCTGGTGGCTCCAGTTCTGTGGCTCATGGCTGCATAACTCCAATCCCTCCTTCCAGCTTCTCATGGCCTTCTCTCTGTGGCATTTCTCTGTGGCACTTGGGGTCTTGGATTTCATAGCTGTTGGATAGTACATAATGTCCTCATCTCCAGATTCTTAATTGCATCTTCAAAGATCTTTTTCTGTATTGTAATTCTTGGTATTACAATACAGAAGAGTCTTCTGGAAGACCACTGTTCAGCAATAGTGAACACACTTAGCTAGATTTTAATAAATATATTGGATACAGAAAGATACTCAATAGCTTCCTATCTTAAAATACGGTTTTAGCAAGAGAAAAGCTATGGTATTTACAAAACTGGATAAACCACATTACAAAGATTATTTATGATGACTTCATAGAGAAAATAAAAGTTCGTACCAGTACATCAGTTTTAAATCCCTAATACTATAGAAGTAAATAATACAAAATAAGCTGCATCATTCCAGGTAACAGGTAGTGGGTTTTCTTTTCACAGCTGTTGTGTTTTCTATGTGTGGCCAGTTCTCAAGTGCACTTGGTTTAGAGTGACGATTGTAAACACTCACCCATCCTGTTTATTCCCTACTTTAAAACCCTTCTTTGGAGGCTTCTTTCTGTAATGAACTTTATTGCAGCCTATGTTGTCACCCTGCCTCTACATCCTGCAGAATCTCCTGAGTAGTCTGTATCTACTTGTGTCTGTTTTATAACTCTCCTACCTTACACATTCTCCCCGCTCCTATTAATTTATTTTCCTTGAAAATTCAGTTGATCTTCTTCTTCTCTGGGAAGGTTTTCGTCATTTATTTTTCCCCAGGGTCTCTGGAACTAATTTCTGGGCTTTTTTCTACACCAAGTGCTATAGCAACATCTCTCTTCTGAGACTGGCTCCTTTATATAATTACCTCACTGTTTTGTCTTAAAGAGTTGCTCCTTTTCAGGGATCATGACTCTTATTTCTACTTAACCCACCTTGCTCTGTGACTGTGTGAATATATAATTTGTCTTTCATCAGCATAGGACAAATAACTGAATGGATGGCTGTCAGAGGCTTCATTTTTGCTACTCTTAGGACATCATTCATTCTCTTGTATGCCAGCTTACCACTTGTCAGAGGACTGAGGATAAGAATACATCACATATAATTCTGTTATCCGCTAAACTAAGCTAAAAATTTCTGAGAAATGCTTTTATTGTGCCTACAGTTTATTTTCTGTAAGTTTAAATGTTATTTTAAAATACACCAATACTGTATATGTTCTTATTCATTTTTATTAAATGAAATATTTACTTTAATTTCTTCTCCAAGTAAGATGGATAATTTTTAAAAAACATTTTATTGCTTTCCCTTTGCAGGAGCTGATTCCTACAAGCAACATCAACGCAGTTGTGGCACTCACCCGCCTCATTGAAACACTGCTCTGTTCCGTGGTGGAGCATGAACCCAGTAGCAAGCACATTCGTGTCTGGACTATGGTTGGTTTTATATTGAAAGTGGTTTTAAATGCAAAATAAAGTATGGTTATAGAAAATAATGTTCATATTCAGAAAGGCCTTTATAAGATCCAGAGCAGGTTCTAGTGATCACTAAAGAATAGCTAAGGACATTAAGTTGGCCCAACCTGGTATTTTGATTCTAAAAACAACTTTAAAGAAAATAAAATATGCCAGAGTAGACTCAAACTGTGCTAGTCTTTATGAAATACCGTATGGAGATAGTCCCTTGATGAGGTGGTACAGTATTAAACTCACTTGCTTTAGGGTAATTGATTTTTGTCTTAGTGCTAAGTGGGAGTATGGACAGCATAGAAATTATCTATGAAAGACTGGGAGAAGGTATCCAACCAGATAGGTAAATACAGGCAGAAACCAAAAAAAAAGCATATGCATTGAATACAATTCAAAAGGCAAAAGGGATATTTTCCCTTCAAACCAGTCCCCCAGCCACCCTCAAGGCAACTCTTGCTAGTGCTTCACATAGCCCTGAAATAATATTTTACACATACATTCTTTCCTGTGTGTATATTTTATGTGTCAATATACTATATGCACTAATTTGCATCTCACTTGCTGTCCATCTTGAATTTTCTGTCAGCATGATAGTTACATCTCTCTTTCTTTTTCTTTCTTTTTCTTTTTCTTTTTTTTTTTTGTTTTTTCGTGACAGGGTTTCTCTGTGTAGCCCAGGCTGGCCTCGAACTCAGAAATCTGCCTGCCTCTGCCTCCCAAGTGCTGGGATTAAAGGCGTGAGCCACCACCGCCCGGCTTAGTTACATCACTCTTAAAAGCCATATATACATCAGTGTGTGTAGCATACTCTAAATAACCAGAGCGCCTGTTGAAGAAATAATAATTTAACCAATATTTTATACATATATCATTTTCACTGGTAGAAATTTATTTGAGGATAAATTAAATAGATATCCCTAGGCCATTTGTGTAGGTATTTAAGTTTTTTATCACTATTGCCAAAGAAACAGTTCTTTATATGATTTATCTATACTCAGTTTTATTTTTTGTCTCTGCATGACCTTTTCAAGTATTTTAAACAGGTCTTAATATATTGAATTTTAGTTGTTTCTCCTAAATTTTCTTTAAAAAGTAATCACTATCGTCTTTTTCACCAACAGGCCACTTTTATATTCTCTTTGATTTGGTCAATTGGAGCAAGTTGTGATACAGATGGTCGTCTTGCTTTTGATAATTTCCTACGAGTAATTGTAACAGGAAAAAATGAAGATGCCCCAATGCCAGTCTCTATCAGTAAATGGGAATGCCCATTTGATGAGAAGGGCCTAGTCTATGACTACATGTATGAGGTATGACCTCCAACGTGTACTGACATAAAATGTGAACCACAAACCCTGGGTCAGCCCGCACAGCGCCAGCATGCACAGCATCTGGGTTTTCATCAGAGGGTTAGGACTCCCATGGAGAGATGCTTAGTCCCATCTCTTTTCTTTGTAGAACTTGTTCTTGTTGTATCTTATGATGTCATGTGCAATTCTAGGGCACTTTTCCAGTCGGAAATAATTCATCAAAGCCTTCTTTAAAACAGAAAGCATTTCACCAGTCATCTTATTCATGCAAATTTTATTTTACAGCTATAAGATTTAAGTAGAGCCTTGGTTATAATTCTACCTAAATTACAGAAATCTTGAGGCAGAACTCAAACCCAATCTGCAGTGGAGAACTAACTCATTCACCTACAAACACAGAATTTTAAGAATTTGAACAGAAAGTTTATCTTTATTAGTTATAGTAGAAAATCAGTAAAATAATCTCTAAACAGTGAATATCTCAGTAGCACAAACATGCTAGAAAACTGAAAGTAAATATCAAAATCCAGTTTAAGTAGGTAATTGTCACTGAGAAAGAGAAAGTGGAAGTTGAGAACTATTCTTTATCTTAATCTATATTTTTGTTTGTTTTTGTTTTGTTATTCAAGACAGGGTTTCTCTGTGTAGCCATGGCTGTTCTGGAGCTCACTTTGTAGACCAGGCTGGCCTCAAACTCAGAAATCCACCTGCCTCTGCCTCCCAAGTGCTGGGATTAAAGGCGTGCAACCACACCTGGTGTCATTTTCTTAATCTAATAAAACGTTTAGCTCAAAAATACATGTCTGTAAAACTTTAGTATCACTCTAAAAGTTTTTAAAAAATGAGTTAATATGCCAATGAGATGCCAATGAGTAAAAATACTTGGCACACAAGCTTGAATATCTGAGTTCTGCCCTGTGTGTCCCACAGTGGAAGTACAGGAGAGATTCCCCAAAACTGCCCATGCTGTGGCACCTGCTTGCCTGATAGGACACAGGAAAAACGTTCTTAGTGCCAGCTATAATGCTGGAGCAGGTGCTAGACTCCTGCTATGCTGCCAGGAGTTAACTCTTATACTTTGATAGGAGATCTGGGCTCAACAAGGGGAAGAAGACTAATCAGGAGAGACAAACAATGGTTGAGGACGTTACTGATGAGAAAACTCCAGACAGTAGCACACTGAGCCAGTAGTTCAAAAGAACCTCAAGACTGTAATTGTTAGTACAATCTGCTGCTTATGTTGGCTGAACAGTGGCCTAGATGAAAAAACAAGATGGCAAACAAATACAGAGGTCTCAAATGATGTTTTATTTTTACTTAGAGTATTGCTCATTTACTTCAAAAAACATGAAAGATAGAAAACCAAAATCTAGAAAGTTGTAACTTAAGTTACACTAGAGTGACTTTGAAATACTCAGTATATACAAAAGACCATATTAAAGACATTTAGGGATGATTAGATATTAAGAGGATATAAATTCAGCCAGGTGTGGTGGTGCACGCCTTTTACTCCAGCACTCAGAAGACAGAGGCAAGTGGATCTCTGAGTTCAAGGCCAGCCTGGTCTACATAGTAGGGCTATCTCAAAAACTAAAGGACATAAACTCTAGGTTTGTTTAGTTTAAGATAAACTGATATTTATATTCTTCAAATTATGATAGACTAACTTTTATATTCTTTGAATTAGCATTAAAAATTAATTGTATTAATTGAGTAGTACATTCATGCTTATCTATTAATCTGCTTTATGACTTAAGATAATGCTTGTATTTTATGTGAATTATTATGATATTTCATTATAAAAGAGGAAAAGACTAAAGTTTTTATTTTGGGGGTTCATTTACAATATTTTAAAATTTATATGTGTATTTGTGTTTTGCATTCATGAATGTGTGCATAGTATGTGCATGCTTGGTGTCTACAGAAGTCAAAAGAGGGCATCAGATTCCCTGGAGTTACAGTTGTGATCCAACATTCGAGTTCTGGAAAATGAATCTCGGTCCTCTGGAAGAACAGCCGGTGGTCTTATTCACTGAGCCATGTCTCCCTGATTTAGAATTTTTAATAAAACATACCTTTCAAAACCATAGTAAGTCCCTTTTCCAGTGCTAATGATCCAGTAGTACAGGCTCTGGTTGTGAGTGCATGGCCTCTCCATGTTATCTCAAGTTGCAGGTAGTTTACTAAGCAGTTGCCTGTTGCCCATTTGGATTTATTCTTCTATAAACTATATGTTTTTGTCCTTTCAACTATAACTTTTCTTTGTCAATTGGTAAAAACTCATTGTGTGTTATAGAATCTAAGTTTTATCTAAGGCTCAAGATTTAAAAGGCAAATGGTATAAGTGTTGAAAAGATTCTTTCAGATGTAACAAGTGTATAGTTACAGGATTTTAAACATATTCTCTTATAGTTAAGAAACCGAGGTCGCTGGCTCCATTGGAATGAATTGATTAAAAGTTCTGATTTAGAAGACAAACGTACCAAGATTCAAGATATTATAGTCCCTACAATGGACACTATTAGATATACTTTCCTAATGGATTTGAGTATTACCTATGCAAAGTAAGAAACTCTAAACATGAATTCTAAATGTAGCAGTACCATTCTAATAAAAATGGCAGCATTTTGTAAAGTAAACTTTGAGGTCATTGAGTTTCAGGCAACTGAGACAATGTCTGGGAGCTAATGAACATGTTTTAAATGACATCTACTGTTATTCGGAAATCTAGAATTCAGCTTTTTTATTACTCCAAGATTTTAACAGAATAGTTCATTTCCTCTTAAGTCACCAAAAATCACTTGCAGTGTTATTATTAAAAGCTTTATACTCAGTCAGTAAAATCCTTATTTCATAAGCATGTGGAACCAGACTCCATATAAAAAACAATGGTTGGTATACAGCCAGAATCATGGTGCACACTTGCAATCACAGCCATAGCGAGATGGGAGACAGAGACAGGCATGTGGGCCAGCTAGACTAGCCTTCTTGACAAACTTTCAGGGAAGAACCCTGCCTCAAACAAAAGGAGGAAATGCCTAGGATACCACCAAGTTATCACCTGAGCTCCGTACATGCATTATGCCTGTGCCTGTTTATACATTGATACACACTTACACACAAGTGTGCATCCACACACACACACACACCACAAGTTTATATATTTTACATACAGGTTAGGTGCCTCCAGGCTAGTAGGACAGTGAACTTGTGGAGAATTCTCCTGTCTCTGCTTCCCATGCCATAGTAGTATTGAGATCATAGACACAAGCTAGCAGGTCTGATGTTCTAGAGATCCAAGCTCAGACCGTCAGGCTTGCATGGCAGGTGCTTTGACTTGCTGAGCCATCTCCTTGGCCCACCCTTTACTGATCTTTCAAGCACAATTATAAGAGCGTGGAGTATTAGAAAAAAATGACTGGACTACTATTTAAAATTTTAAAAATATATATTTGAGTTTTTTTTCCATAAAAATTCTTTTATACTTTCTTCCATTTTGAATTATGCTATTTATTGTTTTCACAAAGGCCGCTGCTTTTTGTGGGTCCCACTGGTACTGGAAAGTCAGTGTATGTGAAGGATAAACTAATGAATCACTTGGAAAAGGAAAAGTACTTTCCTTTCTATGTTAATTTCTCTGCTCGGACCAGTGCCAATCAGGTTCAGGTCAGTATAAAGCCAGAAAATTGGGTTTGTAATTGTTATACTTTATCTTATTTGATAAATATTAAAGTATTTAAAGCTCTGTGTTAAACATGCATAGTTAGCACTTAATATGCATAATTAGCATTTAATTAAGATTTGTCACTTTTTTGTTTTTGGCCTGAGAAGCAACAATTGATTTAATTGAAGAAGGAAGTGTAAGAGACACTCTGTGTGTACACAGGGTAATGGGTGGACATAAGAGAATATTCACTTGTCCTTTCTATACTCTTCTGTATGGCCTTTAGGGGCACTTGCTACTCACAGGACTGGTCCAGCTCTGTTCTTTTCAGCCAATAGATTTGTCTTAACTTCAAAGTCTTGCAAAGTTACAAAACTGTAGAATTTTAAGTACAAGAATTTATTTTGGTATTCAGTTTTACAATGGACAAGTAAGTTGTTTTTTTTTTTAAAGAACATTAGAAATATGGGAGACAGAGTGCCGGGTGATAGCACATGCAGCACTTGTGAGGCATAGACAAATAGATCTCCAAATTTGAGGCCAGCTTGGTCTACAGAGTGAGTTCTAGGATATCCAAGGATACACAGAGAAACCGTGTCTCAAAAAACCAAGCCAAAACAAACCAAACCAAAACAAACAAAAAGCAACAAACAACCCACACACACAAAATTCAGAAATGTAAAAAAGCATACCCATTTATGTTGGATATAAAATACAACAATGGTTGGAAAAATTAATGCTTTTAAGTCTTAGGTAAAGGGGTGTCCAGTGTGAAAAGTACTGTAGAATCATACATACAGACATTACATGTAGTGCAAGCCCGGCATGTACATACCTGTTATGATTCTAAGTGAAGAGGAGATTTTCAACAGATGTCATTTGAAATGATGCTGAGTTTAAAATTTAGTATCAAGTAAGAGTAACTCATAACAAATATACATATAACATTATTTCTTTTCAAAGATTCTTCCAGTTATTTTTCTGATGTTAACTATTTTTATGTTAAGTTATTGACTAATTAAACAAATGGTAGTTACTACTGCTAGCCCATGGATACTGTCTCGATATTGACTTAAACAATGATAATAACACCAAGATTGTAATACTATCATATGTAATATGCCTCTGTCTTTTTAAAAATTTTTTAGAACATCATTATGGCTAGATTGGACAAAAGGCGCAAGGGAGTATTTGGACCTCCTATGGGAAAGAAGTGTGTAGTGTTTATAGATGATATGAACATGCCTTCACTGGAGAAATATGGAGCCCAACCTCCTATTGAGTTATTACGGCAGTTTTTTGACTGTGGACACTGGTAAATACTTTAAGTCTTAATAAGCCATGCTAAAGTCATTATCTTGTTCTCTATTTTAGTTTTTCAAAGCAAAATGATATATTTTCCAAGTTATTTACAGAAAGTGATTATTGGTCAGATTGTATATATAGAAAATGTGGAAGGATTTCTTCTATATCTTCTAAGACTGTTTATAGATGAGTTTCAGATTCATAATAAATCCTGGGAGAGTGCAGAGATTTCTTTCATATATCTTTTGCCCTCACAAATGCATCACCTTGCTCATCACCCTCCTCAGCAGATGGCAGGTGTCTTCCAGTTACTAAGCATGAATCAACACACCATTGTAAATATGAGTTCTTGGTATAGGGCTTGCTTTTTGTTTTATACGACCTATGAGTTTTGAAAATGTACAATGTTATTCATTCATAATTTTGATGACATATAGAGAATTTTCTACGGCTTTACACTCTGTGCAGTTTTCCACTTCTGACACTCACCAAGCCCCTAACAACCAATGATCCTTGTAGGATTTCTACAGTTTAACCTTTCCCATAATATCACTATGTTAGTAAAGGTCTGTTGAACTAACAAATAGCTGAGACAATCAACATACAAAGGAAAAAGTTTATGTTGACTCACGAGTTTTATGAGTTTCAACTCACAGTTGTCTGGCCTTCTTGTTTTGGGGCTTGTGACAAGTCAATACATCATGGTGGGGGATTCATGGAAGGTAAAGCTTATAACTGGGAAGCACAACAGAAGATATTGTGTTTCTGCAATGCCCTCCAAAGCCTGTCTCCAGTGAGTAGCACTATTAGGAAGTGCAGCCTTGTTGGAGTAGGTGTGTCACTGTGGGTGTGGGCTTGAGACTAAGACGCTAATCTTAGCTGCCTGGAGATCAGTATTCTGCTAGCAGCCTTCAGCGAGTGCCTGTGATTTCCGGATTCCACTCTCCGGATCGGGGCCTCCCAGGACTCGGGGCACAGGGCTGGCAGCTGTTCAGCTTCGTGATGCAGGCCACGGCTGGTCAGCTGGTCACTGTCACACAGAAGAGGGTCACGGCCCCCTGGATGTGCCTCCCGAGTGTGCCTGCCACTTGTTGCGCCTTGCGTTCCAGCAGGTGCAGATCGGGCCCAGAATGACAGCTCCCAAGATTGACCAGATAGTTGGGCCAACAATCATTAAGACTGGCAGAGAAGCCCAGCTCTGGGTCTGTTCTTGTAAGCTACGAGCAGACAATTTGATCTCACTATAGAGCCCTGGCTAGCTCACTATCTATAGACCAGGCTGTCCCAGTGCTTGGATTAAAAGTGTGCACCACCATGTCCAGCCCTCACAGCTGATTTTAAAAGCTGGTGGAGGAAGCTTTGAAGTGCAAGTGGAACAGTGAAGACCTCATCCCTGAAGTCTTGCAGAACATCAGCCTGCGCCTGAGACTTTCAACCAACCTTGCAGGTATTCTTCAATCTCTGGAGGCAGAAGGGCATCAAAGAAGCCTGGAAGATTTAAGAGATATACAGAGCAGCTGGATGTGAAACAGGCTGACTAATAAGCCCTGCCTCTCAGCACCCAGCCTGCTTGCAAGGATGTTTCTCATGAACGCCCCTCCAGTGGTGGCGCTCCAATCCAGATAGGAGGCTTTTGGCCAGCCCAGGAGCTTCTGCTTTCCAGACTACTTTTCAGAGTCTAAAGAGGACACGTCCAGGGCTTCAGTGAGTGCAAGGGTACAGATGTTCATCTGCATGCTGCAGAGAGACGAGGCTGCCCTGGGCATGACCCATGAACTGTCACACAAAGAGGCCAGCGTGCAGAGAGGTCCCAGAACACCAGGCTGGCCCCCAAGCCTGCTGTGTACAAAGGGCAGCCAGAGTTCCTTGCCTGTGGTCTTATTGCAAACTGCAGCACCCTGGAGAAAGATGAAGCTGGAAGACATGGCCCCTTGGAGCTGGATTCTGACAGTGATGATTCTGTGGACTGAGACATTGAGGAGGATATCCAAGAGTACCTGAAGGCAAAAGATGGGGCTTCTGAACCTATGTTCCAAGGGCCCCCCTCTATCCCAGAGTCTGCCCACAGCAACACCCTGCCCATCCCATGTCCCTCACAGCTCACTTCTGGCTCAGGTTCCTGTGGGAGCCAGTGAAGACCAGAGCTCCACCTCCCCAGCTAGCATGAGCAGCGAGGACCCCTTTGAACAGAGCATCCAAGCTGAAATAGAACAGTTTCTTAATGAAAAAAGACAGCATGAACACCCAAAGTGTGATGGGTCCATGGATAAGAATCAGACCCAAACAAGAGCCCTGCCAGACTTAGAGGGGACCAAGAAACGTCAGCAATGGCAGCTCTGATAGGAACCTGTAAGGAGCTCATCTTCCGAAAACCTTCCAGGTTAACAGCCGAGAAACTTCCAGCCTGAGCTCGCCACAAAGCCCGAGACCTCAGTGAGCACAAAGCTGACCGCCCACAGATCAGAGGCTGCACAGAACAGGGGTGAAGTGAGGAGACACATGCCTGCCAGGTGCAGAGAGGGCATCAGGAGCCCAGCCCCCATGCACCAGGCATTGGACCCCAGCAGTGACGATGACATTGAGGAGGCCATCCAGCTGTACCAGCCTGAGAAAACCAGGAAGGAGGCCAGTGGGGACCCATCTCTGAGAGCCCAGCTGAAAGAGGGAAGCTCTGGCAGTGCCCAGCCAAGTGCCTTGCCTGAAGTCCACAGGAGACTCCCTAGCAAGAAAAAGCTGGCAGTTCCAAAGATTATGGACACCACCCAGGGGGGCCTCCACCCTGATCCCCTTTCCAAGCTCCTAACAGATTCGAGAGCCTCTGTACCTCCAGGACACACAACTGCCAAGAGTGAAGCTGTGTACCAGGCCTCACGCCTAGCAGACACATCCACCAAACTGATGTGCACAGAAGTGATCCTGGGCGTCTCCAAGACCATCCTGTCAGCCTCCATGGGAGTCAGTGACAGGCTCCATCCAGGAACACACTCTTCTGTCCCCAACCCATGCCTCCCTGCTCTGAAGGTGACAGCAGCAACATTGACAGTGATGACAGCATCAAGCAGGAGATCCAGATTTTTTTGGCCCTCAAGGTACAAGTAGGAAGTCCTCAGCCTGCCCAGGGTCAACTGTCCTTGCCTGGCTCCAGTGGCCACCCTGTCACCCCCCAAAGCCCCTCTTACTAAAACACCAGATCTCCCTCGGGGCTGCAAATGGAAACGGAGAGATAGAGGCAGCTCTACAGTGCCCAAGGAAATAAGGGAGGGTAGAGAAAGTGCCCAGGACGCTGGCCACATCCAGAGAAAGTTCAGCCTGGCCATGATCGGGGGGACCCTCTCGGGCAGAGCAAAATCACACAGAGACCCCAGGAGGAGAGGCTGAAACCAAGGACCAGCCTGTCACTTCCAGGGTCCTTGGGAAGGCCTGTGAGAAAGAGAGCTCTGAGCATAAGAACAGTTCTCTAGACAGTGACAAGGACCTGAACATGGCCATCAAGGACTTATTAAGATCCAAGCGCAAGTTTAAGAAGAGGTGCTGAGACCCATAGGCTTCGTGTAAGAAGGTCAGATTTGGCAGCAGAGACTCCATGTGGGAAGAAGCTGGGCAACCTTCCAGGGGACGGGAAAGACCACAGACAGCAGGCACTATGGCGCTGTCTGCCCAAGTTCAAAGACAGCCCAAGAAGAAGCCCAGGAAGTACCTTCAGCAGCATGGCAGAGAGGGTGAAGTGGGGTGGCACAGGGGGCAAGGGTTCAACCCCTGCCATTCTCCCCAGGAAGAAAAGTCCAGAAGGGGCTCCTCCCTCTAAGTCCACAGGAGCCAGTGGCCACCCTCCTTCTGCCTCCAGCCCCACATCTGAGGACAGTGCAGTGGACAGTGGTGACAACATTGAGCTAGAGATCAGGAGGTTTTTGGTAGAAGAGGCCAAGGAGTCTATACACAACGCAGAACCTCTAGGGGGCGCTGCCAAGCCGGAGATGCCCTGCCCTGTAGGAAAGAGCCAACCTTGGGGTTACAGTCTGGATTGTGCTCAAGGAGCCAAAAAGCCAGGGGAACCTCTCAGCTGGCTGAAGGAGGGAGAGGCCTAGAGAGAGCTTGGGTACAGGTAGCCAACCTCTTGAGCCAGACTGGGAGGGGCACCCTCCGTGCTGAGCAGGCCACCTGCCTCACCACTGCTCTGGGCCGAAGTGAGGCATCACTACCCAAGAATACCAGCAGGAACAGTTCTGGCAAAGCATCTCCACCAAGCAGGAAAAGAGCTAATGTTCACAAAGACCATGGCCTATAGGGAATGCAGACTGCAATGGCAGAAGGTGTGTTCAGTCAGCTGCCCAGTTGTCCCAAAGTGGGTGCCGAGGCTGGAAGTTCCGGGGGAACCTTTCACCTGAACTATGGCAGTCAGAACTTGCTAACCCCCAACCCTGGATCCCAGGCTGACCTCACCCTCCCTTGGAGTGATTTTGCACACCAGAGCAGGCTGTCCACCCCATGGGTGCTGAACTCGGGTCAAGAGACAGTGTGGATAGGGGTGTTTTTCGGGGTGAAAAGGAAAAGGGTGCTGTGCCACAGGCTGGGGACCCACACAGCCTTTACTCAGACCCCAGGAAGGGCCTGCCTTTCCTCTCCACCCAACGCTTCCACTTCAGGAAGAATGATTCCTGGGTGGGGCAAGTGGGCTGGCCTCTTCCCCCACCCCCACCCCCAGAGCAGTGTTCTCTGCCTTCAGGGAGACCCAGCCTGGCCCACAGCCCTGTATTTGGAAGTCCACACTTGCTAATGAAGGACACTGGGAACTGGCCAAGCTGGAAGGCTCAGGGGACCCTGAGACAGCAGGATAGAAAGAATTCTGACTCTGGAGACAAAGTTCTCGACCTGAGATATGGGCACAGAGTTAGTTGACAGGGAATAGCAGGACCAGGAGATCTTGGGCAGTGATGCCAGCAAATTCAGTGACACTTCCATGGAGGATGGGGGCAGTGCCACAGTGAGCAGTAAAGGCCTCAAGTTGTGACAGGTATGTTATGGCCCTTGACATAGCTGTGGGAAGCAGTATCCGTGTCTTATCTGATTTGCATGTGTGCATGCCAGTCTGTGTGTGTCCCTTTGTGTGTGTGTGGCTGTGTGTGTGTGCCTTTGTGCATGTGTGGCTGTGTGTGTGTGTGCCTTTGTGCATGTGTGACTATGTGTGTGCCTTTGCCTATGTGTGGCTGTGTGTGTGTATGTGTGCCTGTATGTGTGTGTGTGCGCCTGTGTGTGTGCCTGTATGTGTATATGCCTGTGTGTGTGAGGCAGCCTAGGGTGAAAGTAGGGGATCCTAACAGTTAAAAAGCAAAAATTTGGTCCCTTCCATGCAGTCCCCCTGGTATAAATATGTACACTAACCTCAAATGACATTTTTATTTAATGAATGTGTCCTGGTACATAGTGAATTTTGTATGTTTTTGTCAATTATTTTAAAAGTGCTGTAGGAAATACTTTTTGAAAGTGTCATTCAATCTTGCAGGGTGTTCCTAACTGCAATTCTCTGTGGTCTCAGAGTATGTATGGTAGATGAGTAAATACTCGGTTTTTACTGTCCCTGTGAGGGTCAGAGACAGAGGCTGGAACTGTTTGCCATTTGCTAGTGCAAATATTCAGACCTGGAGATAGCAGCAGCTATCTACCTTGGAAGTGCTAATGTGGTTGAGGTGTTGTGTCGGGATGCCACTAGGACAAGCATGTCCCTGGCCAGAGTCTGTCTCTGTATTTTATAGTCATGGCCTGTAATTAGAAAACATTTCAAAGCATAACAGCTAGCAAATAGCTAACCAACCACCCCCTGTCTAGTGTGGGATGCTGGCTCTGTAGCTCAGCTGAGCCCAGATCATCCAATATCTAGTTGTTGGGGGATTCTAACGTCCATATAAACTCCTTCATATGAGAGCTACAGATTTGCTTTTAATCGTGGCTCTAAAAGGTGATCCCACATATTCCTTTTGACTGTACTGTTCTTGATATATGTGTATAGTGAAGTAGTGAGACCATGAGATGGCTTGGTCCCCAAACAGCTTAGCCACCTATAATGGTGAGCCCCAGCCCTGGAAACAGTGAGGACAAACCCTATCCAGACCTGCTGTGTATGACTCAAGGCCCAGCTGTGTGTGACAAATGATAACACCAGCAGTCTGCATGGCTTTCTACAACTCTGCCTTTACCCAGAAGAAAGAAGGGCCTGGCCAGTGTTGAGGCCAGGCTGCAGGCATTGAGTTCCTAGGAGTTAAGCAGATTGATACCGCCTTGGTGCTGAGGTGCCTGTGGCAACTGGGAACTGAAGATGTGCTGAACCCCAGATGTGAGGGTTATATCTGTGTTGTGATTATCTACCTGTCGCCCCTGAGTTCTGCAGCTCAGTATGCTGGATTGCTGTGTGTCTACTTTGTGGCTGAATTCTGTTGGTATTCTAACATGGAAGTGAGAGTTCTACTTTATGCACCTGAGTCTGAATTGTAAATCACTTCTGTGCCCAAATGCTGACACATACTCTGACCATCCTTCGTGTCTGCCATATTGGAGCTTTGATGTGCAGGGCTCTGTGGGCCCAACATGGTCCTGAATTCTGTATATAATAAATCTATTGTGCTTATTTGTTCATGTGTTTCTGGGAGAAGCAGCTTTGTGTCATCCATGTTCCCACCTTAAATTTTTAGAGTGCTTTTAACCCTTGAAAACAAAAAGCATCTTATTTTGTATAGAAGACCCATCCAGTTTTGGGTTTTGTTTTTTAATAAATAAACCAAGTACTATCCCCCCCCCCAAAAAAAAAGACTAACATTCACAAGCTCAGCAGGCAGTCTGTTCTAACTTCCTGTAGGAAGTTGCATATGCAGCCAAGGTGGATGACTCTACCTTGGTTGTTAAGGTCCACTGTGGCAAACAAGATCTCTCTGGCCTGCTCAAGGCTGGGGGAGAGCATAGCAAAACACTTCTGTAATCCTAGCATTCAGGAGGCTGAAGCAGGAGGCCAGGCCTTCAAAGTAAAAACCAGTATATATATATACATACATACATACATACATACATACATACATACATACATATATATATATGTATATATATATATATGTGTGTGTGTGTGCCTATGTCTTATATTCTTTATTGACTTTCACAAATAGAAGTTTTTATTTTAATGAGGACTTCTTTTTTAATTATTTCTTTCACAACTTGTGCCTTTGTTATCATAATTTAAAAACTTACTGTACCTAAAGTAATTTAGATTTTTCTCAAATGTTATCTGTATCTGGTTTTTTTTTTTTTTTTTACTACTTTGTGGGTTCTTTTTTCTTCCACCTTTCTCCACCCCTCTTCTTTCACAATTTCAACCCCTAACACTAGATAGGAGAGCAAAAAGATAGAAGGAAAAGGGGGGAGATATAATTGTTAGACTGCTTCCTACTGACTAGGAGTGTCCAGTTCCTTGGGGCAAGTTTGATCCTTACCATTAGGATATCTAATTTCTTCTTCGTGTTTCTTCTTTGCACATGACTACTAAACCAACCACGTCCAACAGCAACCAGCAACCAACAACCAACCACCCTGCCTCTCAGGGCCCTAGCATTTACATACCCACTGAAAAGTCCCCAGAA